GGTGAAATGACGAGAATAAACCAACAGACTCATCAGGGACCAACTGTGCAAGCGGAATACAGGTTTTTCGCATTTTCCCAAATATTTCCTCCATCTGTTCGGTGACGTATCACGCACACTTCTAATGAATGCAAGGCACTTGCAACGCTGCCTTTCGTGCGGCTGTCGCACTCTGTAGGTCTATATATCTTTCCGAGATCATTGAGAAAGTCTGCGGAGGTACTTAATCTTAATAATGTGTATTTACCCTATTTTTGTGGTGGTAAATAAATTAAGACTGATTGATTGATTGATAGATAAAGTAAACTGATTGATTGAGGTATTGAGCAGCGTAACTTAACGGTCTTGGGCTCAGCAAAAGTAGCCCCAACCAGCTGTTCGCATTTCAGCCACTCAAGTGTTTTCAGTAAATTTCTATTCGGGAAATGGACTTAGGCCTATCAGACTCTGTACAATACAGTGTGTATTACGTGCATTGTACGTACTACTGCGCATGCACATTTTGCCGAAGTGGATGTCCTCTTCGGTTCTCCCTCCTCAGAGAATCAGTTGAAAGCGGTTATGCTAAGGACTATGGTTTGGATTCCACTAAGGGCGCATGCTCAAGAGATATGCCGCCAACAGGAAGGATGTTCGAGAAATGAAATCATCACTATGCACACTATGGCGACTCACCGGTCAAACACTGAAGGACGCGCGCTCTTCAAGAAACGTCCTACAACGGTGTCATTTTCGTGGTTCTTAAACAGTGCTTTCGCAACAGATATGATCCCCACTGGTCTGAAAATGAAAGAACCACACACAAGATCCCGGGAGGGCGCTATTTGTAAGATGAGCGTTTCGTTGAGGGTGCACCCACGTAAGTAAGCCAACAAAATCTGTCAATCGAACTCATGAATAAAAGTTATACACTCAAGATATTCTAAATGAGAGAGTTCTGAGCTCCAATTTGGGAATTGAAGAAATATTACACTGGACTTCTGACCTGGACCTAGGGCTTTCTATTCTGATCGATTTGGATGCGTTGGGTCCCAGGTGGCACTATTTAGCCGTTTTGCGGAGGTTTTTTTTCAAAATGGCTACTTTTCCCAGCCTTTTCTTCGTTTTAAAGGTGGTCTGCTTTGGCTGAGGGTTTCTCAAACCGTCATTGGCCAACCTACGAAATTCAAAGGAAAATGAAAGATGACATGTTGATCATCATTTTTCTGATCAGTAATGTATATTTTAAAAGAATGCTACAGTACAGAGATCTGTAACTCATATCTGTGGGATTTCATTTACAAGGATGCACCCTTATTGAAAACTGCCATATGTACCAGTTAAGATTTCGTGTGCCAACATCTTGGATGCGCCTGTGCCGCACATTTTACAGTGCAATCCACTCCAAGCGGAACGAAAGAGGGCGTGTTTTTTGGCACTCATAGGCGCGCCACAAGGCGCGCAAATATATGCGCGTTTGACGCGGAGCACGCTGAGTACGCGTAACTAATTTATTCCGGTATGTATGCATCCTCGGTCGAGTTCGGGCGGTCCATTCTTGACACGGGTTTCGTGTTTTCGCGCTCGAACGGCGGGAACACGACCGAAGAACACTGTTCTCGGAACAGGATCACCCACCACCTCCTCGTCAGGATTTCACACGAACACACGGATGCTTGCCACAAATAACTACTAGCGCTTATAACCGGTTGTACATTCCCGGCGTTCGAGCGACCAACCCACGAACAACAAATCGAACTGTTCGTGAACAAACGAGAACAAGCCGCCCGAAACTCAGCCCTCGACTCCATGGGCTGCGTGCGCGTTCCTTCACAAGTTCCGCGCAGGGCATGGTTGGAACCAACACAGCGCAGCAAGATCGTTCGCATGGGAGCGAGGTTGGCATGTATCGTCTTTGGGTACATGCAGAACGCGTGCAAGAACCCGCTTGTAACCATCCGTCTTTTTTTTCGCTGATTGGGGGTGCATTTCAGCTCGGGGCGGGTACGGGCACAAACATATAAACACATAAACGGACAACTCTGGTTCAAAACAACAGCGGGGCACCGTAGCTGAGACGGCACCCGACTTTATACGGAAGTTACGCACAGTTGAAGAATTCAAGCCACAAAACTCTATTAAGCCATTTTTCGATTGTTAAAAAATCCTCTGTTTACTCAATCTGGCCCATGCAGATTGGAAAGAGTGCGGTTACAAAATTTGATTAGAAGAGATAGTGGTACAAAAGAGTAAAAAATGAGCGTCTTTTTGGAGCACATATAAACAAATGCATGCAATTTTAGTGCGTCACGCGCAATTCGCAATGAATGGACTGCCATTTAACGTTTCGCCCACTGCTTGCCCACGCTTTTTAAAATCACGGTTATACGCGCAAGCCTGGTGGTTTATGTGTTACGGGTGATTCACAATAGTGCACCTCCAACCGAATTGCAACGCGTTGGCCAATCAAAATGATTGAAATCCGTCGATCTTTTCCAAACGTGCTTTGGGTCGACAGATTTCGCGCATTATGATTGGCCAGTGTGTTGTAGACTTTTGGGGGCGCACTATTGTGAAACGCCCGTATTATCTTTATATTGAGTATGTGATATAACATCATAATTCGGCTGCTGTGTAGTAACTACAAGGTCATAGGTTCGAAAACCCAGCTTAGAATTTGTTGAAGTTTATTGTCTCTGTAGCTTTTGTTTGAAATATTACTAGCTTTCGTTCTTTACCCTCTTCACAGATTTCGGGAATTTGATTTTTTAAAGGAAAAATAAAGCACAAAAATTTTGTCTACCACGCG